ATTAATGGGGTCTCCTCTGTTCTTTTTTTTTTTTTTTTTTTTTTGCAGCTACACTGGCACCATTCTTGGTATTGTGTTGGGACTACAAGTGCCCTGTTGTTCACGGTAAGCTGTACCTTCTCTTACCAGTTCAACCAGTACTGAGTTGTGAAGTTGCAATAACATTTTTCATAGTGGTACACTCTTGAAGTCTTAACGATATTTGCATTTTCCTCTTGAAGAGATGTAATTTGTGACCTTTGAAGAAGTACTCTTGCCTTCCAAAGTATCTCTAGTCCATATTATTTCTGCACCCTACTACAGATCTGTTAACCTTTCTAGCCTGTGGTTCATCCTTTGTAAGAATATATTTGTGGAATAATATTAAGATGTTCCTTTAGCTTTGGCAATGACAAGAAATCCTGTCTTAGTTTCCGTTTCTGGAGAGTTGGAGGGGACCAGGATCCCCTCCAAATCACAAAACGAGGTAGTGGGCACTGTCGGGGAGAGAAGTAGACTCCAGCAGCTGCACTACTCTCTTCTTCCTCATTTTTTTCTCTTTGTATGTTTACTGCAGTGGTTGGGGAATAGTAGGGAAGTAAATGTCTCCTTTATATAAAAGCAGAAATAATTGGGAATGTGGAAGTTCTTGTTGCAGAAGTTGCTCTATCTCCTGTAATAACTAGCTTTGCAACTGGCCTGAGCTGCTAACAGCCACCAAACTCTCTATTATCTCAGCAACAAGGATTTTAGTAAGCTGATCTGATACCCTTTTCTGGGGGAGAAACCTTAAAAAAAAAATTTAAAAAATTGCAAATGTTCTCACCTGGAAAGATGCTATGATCACACGTAAGCACACAGGGCTCGAGGTTAAAACTTAAAGAAAAAGCATTGTTCTTCACTGGATTCAAAGTCTGCTGTGCCAGAAAGTTTCATGGGATGACTGTTACAGGAAACAATGACAAAAATAAGAATCTGTTCCAAAATCAAATGCTTCTTTGAAGAGAAATACAATAATTCAATGCATTGTCTCTCTTAATCAGTGCTGCATTAAACTGAATAACGGTACACTGAACACAGACATAAAATGTGGTGGGTCGCCTGAAGTTCTAGAGACGTTTATGAAATTTCTAGCTAGGGATTATTCTCTTACGAACTTTGCTCATTCCAGTTCCCCTAAATCTGTTTTGGAGTGGTTCTTATTGGCAGAACAAATTATAATCTGTCATTATGATCCAAAAAGATTAGTGCCATTTGAGAAGAAAAAAACCAACCAAACCTCCCAACCCCCTATCAGATTAATTTTTCATCATTTTTATTGTGTACAAATTGCAGTGAGTGTCTCCTGCTACTGACATGTCTCTACAAGACTGATGTCTTACTCAAACCTTTGGCATTACATTTTAAACTATAATAACCTCTACACATCCTGCAAAATACACAATTTTCATTATTTCTAGTGATGTTTTTGCACACTTAATAGAGGAGGCACCAGAGTTTCTGTAGCAGCTAAAGTTTAAAGCCTTGGTAATACGCCCAGTCTACTGAACTTACTTTCTAATACTTCAATTATATTTCCAAAAGTTAATTCATTAGAGTCTTCAAATAAGACTGGGTAGTTTAAATCAATAAAATGTTTTCTAAAGTAAAAATGTCTGTATCTCAGATCTTACCAAAAGGTGATCTGAGAGTAAAATAAAATTTGACTAGTTAAATATAATGCAAATACGGTGGTGGACGTTGAAATCCCAGAGAGTTAAGTGACAGCATTCTTAGAAAAGCAATAGGATGAGAAGTAATTCCAGCTACAGAGCATATTACTGAAATAAAGTACTCTAGTCCAAGGTGGTTGGGGTTATGTATAAATTAAGGGGTTGTAAAGTCAAGTCTACAGCTCCTCCAATAACTTAATATTTTTTCTGCAATTAAAATTGTGGCTAGAAAGCTTAAGGGGATGTGTAATTACTAGCGATTAACAGTCTGATCATGTGAGATGCTGAGGTCCCTCCGCTCCTGAAGAAATTACTGAGAACTGTGGTTGCTTACCATTCTGCAGGTTTAAATCCTTTAACGCTGAAGATGAACTGATGATCCAGATATGATACATGAAATAGCTGCTGTGGTGCCATGTGCCGAAACAGTATACATTATCAAGGTATTGTCTTAACGAACAAAACATACTTCCTTGCATAAACAGAAGGTAAATATACTTACCCATTTTATTTGGAAAAATAATCTTTACAGGTAGTGCTCCACTGACAAGCATATTGAATCCAAAATGTTCAGAGGCATTTACTTACGTTTAGTTAACTGTGTCTGTGTTTGGTCACTTCAATAGCATACCTGATTTTGAAAGATTTTGCATCTAATGTCTATTTCGTCAACAGAAATCAATGGTGGGTTATCAACAATTCAAAAAAGTCTGACTGGGTACGTGGTCGGTTTTATCTGACCAACTGAAAATGTATGTGCAGCACATGATATGGCAATTATTGAGCATAGTACTTTATGTACTTTAAATCTTCCGATATCGTTTTTACTTTGAATTTTACAATTTGTTTCAAGAAGCTTGGCCAATAATAATAATTTAAAAAAAAAAAGGAATTTAAAAAAAATTGTGGCCTCTTGTCAGAGGCTTTGTCTGTCATGTCTCTGCATGGGTGCTGCATTTACACTTCTTCCCATTTGGGATGACCTGGAGAGAAACTGCTCTTTCATCAAGAACAGGCGTGTATTTTCAAAGCTCTGTGGATAATGGCTATGGAAAGTTGCTTTCTTCTCTATCCCAAAGTTTCTGATTCCCATTAACCGAGCTATAAGGATTAGGGTTAGGCTAATTCCTAACTATATTGTGCAAGAGAATTAGAGGATGATGCTTTTGTTACCATTATAGCTTTAAACACTAGGGGAGAAATTACGCGAGAAGCATGTCAGAGGTCATGGGCAAAGGAGCACTGTGCGCAGTATGAGAGAAATTAGGAAGCTTTAACTTAAAGGTGCATGAAACCTTACAACTGAAAAGAACTGAGAAAAAGGGACCAACTTCAAGAAGAAAAGTTATGTAACTGAAGGACCAAGTTTCTAATGAAACACTATTAACGAGATGGGGGGATAAAAAGTGGTAGGCAGATTAAAGGATAAGAAAGAAATGATGAAGTAAATGGGTAAAGGTAATGGACAGCTAAGAGGGATTACTATGAAGAATCGATTCGGAGAGACATAAAAAGCTGAAGCAAGAAGCAAGCATGAAAACTTTGGATTAACATCTGAGAATTTGATTTTGAAGGTAGTTAAAATATTAGTGGTAGAATTTATATAGATTAGTTTTGTCTTAAAAGGGATTTGTATAAAGAATTCCATAATAAAAATTAATTAGGTCAAAATAACTAGATCTCATATCATATTAAGCAAATCACCCAACTGACAGAGAAACCAAACAGCTTTACATAACTGCCACAATGGTGACAATTTAAGAATTTCAGATTCATTTTCCGCATTTTTGTTCCTCACAGTTCTACCTGATAAAATAATTTGTAAAAATTGAAGTGTGTCCTTAGCAGCTGAAAACCCAGCTCTGTAGCGTCTTCAGGTGAAGGTTTCTTGTTCCGTTTGAACAATGTGAGAACATGAATGGAGCTGTGATTGCTTAAAAGAATTTCAGCCTCTTTTTGCTTTTTTTTTTTTTTAAAGTATTCACGATTGTCTTCGTGTTTCCTGATTATTATTAATTATTTGTATCGCCACAGCACCTAAAAGCCTAAGTGTTTGTCCGCAACCTGGTTTTGGCAGGTCGTATACAAACACAATACAAAGGGATCTATCTAGTAGTCTCAGATACGGTGTTTGTAAGCAGCTGCAGCAATTCAGTACGTTGCAGCCTCCCCCTTAGGCTGCTTCCTTAGAGCCAATTTCATGATTATCCCACCTAAAATCATCGCAACAGAACATATGAGGGGGTTTTGCCGCTGCTTTAGTGCAAACTCAGGGTTCAGTTCACTTCCCTGGTAATTTAAATCGGTCTTTGCGCTCAAGCGCAGCTTCACGCTCCAGATGAATCATCTAACCAACCGTTCCCCAAAGGAGCAAGCAGTCTTGCTGGCCTCTTCACCCCCGAGCAGCTATTCCCGCTTCCTTTGTGCCAACAGCGGTGTCTGTACGAGCACTGTCACTTAAATTAGAAGCGGCTCACAGAACTGAACTGGCAGAAAAAGAGCAGTTCACCGCAGCATTAAACCAGCGCCAGCGCTGCTGCCAGGAAGCGAATGGGTCTTCTTCCAGGCGCGCTGTTAGAGGATCCTAGCAGCTCCCAAACCGTCATCCCGCGGTGCTGGAGCACAAAATCTCAAGTAACGTTCTCAGCTAAAGGGTTAATGCTAACTGTGCAGACTGAGGGATGAGAATTTTTTTGGGTTTGTGACCCAAAAAATTTAGCCATTATTATTCTAACTACCTCGGTTGTAAAACCTACTGTACAACAACACAGTTCAGATGTTGAAGTGTGTGAAAATAGTCGGTTTGGGAAAGCAATTCCATTCTGGCTTTAACTTGTACCCTTGTAGCAAATATTAAAGCTGGTGTCCAGCCTACATGAGACTTTTTGCATTAGCTGCCCTGTTCTAAGAATAGCTCATTTTAGGATGCTGTGGGAGGAGGTATATTTGAGGTCTTTCCAAGTCAGAACGTCAAAACTGAAAATTACAACTGATAAACCAAAATGCATCAACCAGATGATTAAGCTGGGAAAAAGAAGAGCAAAATACTTTGCTCAGGAAATGAGCATAGTTGCTTGTAACGCTATTAAAATACTGCTAATGCGGCAGTTTTTGTGTCAGTTCAGACTTGTGGGCTGTGACCTGCTGTGCTACATGACCCCTCTCTGCCCAAATAATCTAGCACGCAGCCTCAAATTACACAGAGCAGCTCTTCAGCTCAAGCTACAGCTTTATTTTTTCTAGACAGGGTTAAAACGGTTGCCACAATAGCATGTTACTGGGAATTATCGCTGCTGTTGCTACAGATGTAAACACAAGGACAGCCACTAAAATTGACATTTACAAAATGGATACGGATGCTGTGTGACTGGAAAAGCTTCGTCCAGCTACTTTCTCAGGTAGAGGAGACTAGTTACTAACATTTACAGTAGGTGGCGGATTTTTCGTTGACAAAAGGGATGTTATCGCGATAGCGAGGGGGAAAAAAAACCCCAACTAAGAGCTCAAGCAGGAAAAAGAAACCTAGAAAAAATATTTAAAAATCAGTCCTAATTGAACTCCGACTTGACAGTGACTCGACAGGGAGACGCTGCTGTAATACAGCCGTGGAAGTACCTCAGCACGTTTGCGACAAGGCTGTTTTCCCCTGCGTGGGGGAGAAGCCGGAGGAGAGGCAGCGGAGCCCGCCGGCGGGGCCGCGGCGGCGCCCCGGGCGGGGGGTACACCCCCCGAGCCCCCACTGGCTCCGGGGAGGCGTCTCCCCAGCGCCCCCCCGGCGCGCAAAAAGCAAAACCAACTCGGAAAAAGCTTCGGAGCTTCTGCAAACGGGGCTGGGGGGCGGACCCGGCGACCTCCCCACCTCCTTCCCTCCGCCGCTCGGCGACCTTCCTCCCCTTGCGGACCACCC